GCAAGAAGTAATGCGCCTGCGTGTCCTGCCTTTGCTCAGCTCCCTGGGCCGGGGGCCCTTTCGGTACAGACAGGACATCTCACTAATGGCCATTGATCTGCCGGGACTCGCCTGCCTCCTGAATGCCAATGGGCTGCTGCAGCGGCCTGCTGGAACCACCGCACGCAACCCCCCACCCCTGCCATGTTCACAGAGCCGCACTGCCCCATCCCCCCAGCATGGCCAAAAGCCGGGTGAGCTCCCCCTCCCCCCACCATGCCTGGGCTCTCCCCTCCAGCACGGCCGCAGGTAACCACCCCACCCCCGCAGCATGCGGTGCCCTTTGCGCTGGAGGCTGGGATCCCCCTCAGCACACACACAAACGCCCCGTGGCCACCCCCACCGCCAGCTCCCTCCTGCACCCCCCACCCCAGGGATCCCCGCTCCCAGCCCCGCACAAAAATAGCATTTCAGAGCTAATCAAATGCATTACAAATCACCCAGCTAAACCAATTCATTACACAGGCAGTTCAGCCGCGCGCAGGTGCAGGGCGCCGAGCCAGCCGGCGTCTGGGCTTTAATGGGATATTCCCCAAAGCTGCACCTCAGACGTCCCAGTCCGGCTGGGCACCCCCGGCAGCCCAGGCCTGGCAGCGAACCCCTCGCAGAGCCCCTGTAACGAGGCTGGTTCTGGCGGGACCCAGCTGAGAGAGCCAATTCAGGACAAATTGCTTAGAGCAGGGCAGTGACTGCCCAAGGCTGGGGTTTCTACGCACACCAAGGCAAACCAAACCAGCCAACCAGAGAAGACTTCGGTTTTACCCCACTGGCTACCCACAAGTCACACAAGCAATTCCCGTAGACACTCCAGTTTCCCAGTATCACCACCAGTGCCACTCGTTATGGGGACAAATGGTTATGAAAACCAAGGCCCCAGTAAAAGAAAAAAGGTTCTCTCGATCCCAAAGGACCAAGCCCCAGACCCAGGTCAATATACAAATCAGATCTTACCCACAAATCACGCTGTTGCCAATCCTTTAGAATCTAAAATCTAAAGGTTTATTCATAAAAGGAAAAAGATAGAGATGAGAGCTAGAATTGGTTAAATGGAATCAATTACATACAGTAATGGCAAAGTTCTTGGTTCAGGCTTGTAGCAATGATGGAATAAACTGCAGGTTCAAATCAAGTCTCTGGAACATCCCCAGCTGGGATGGGTCCTCAGTCCTTTGTGTAGAGCTTCCATTTGTAGCAAAGTCCCTCCAGAGGTAAGAAGCAGGACTGAAGACAAGATGGAGATGAGGCATCAGCCTTTTATAGTCTTTTCCAGGTGTAAGAGCACCTCTTTGTCCTTACTGTGGAAAATTACAGCAAAATGGAGTCTGGAGTCACATGGGCCAGTACCTGCATACTTTGCTGAGTTACAAAGCGTATCTGCCTTCTCTCCATGGGTCAGTTGTATAGCTGATGGTCCTTAATGGGCCATCCAGCAGGCTAGGCAGAGCTGACAGCAACTTGTCTGGGGTGTCACCCAGAAGCATAGCATAAGTTTGAAATACAGACAGTATAGAGCCAATATTCATAACTTCAACTACATTACTGATACACACATCTAGACAGCATAATCATAACCAGCAAACCATAACCTTGTCTTAGACACCTCATTTGACCCCCTTTATACAAGATTTGGTGCCACTACAGGACCTTAGTTGCAACCATGTTCTATATGGTCCCAGTTCAAGTCAATAACATGACACCCCCTGTCTCCAAGCACGCTGGCCAGCCGGGGGCGCTAGCAGAGCCCAGGGAACTCCCTGCAACTAGGGTTTGGGAACGCCGCTGCTTCCACTGTCACTCAGGGCAAGGAGATGCTTCCTGGCGTCCCCGCTCCCATTCGCCCCCCTGCTGCCCATCCCATCCCGCGGCCCCTGAGGCAGAGGAGGGAGAGGCTCAGGCCCCTGGGGCATAAAACACGCTCTCCCTCCCGACCCCTGGCCGGTCCCCGTCTCTCCCCCTCCCAGGATCCTTCACAACTACATGCTGTGGCGCATTGTGGTGGTGCTGAGCGAGCACCTCTCCACGCCCTTCCGCGACGCCATCCACGAGCTCTCCAGGGAGATGGAGGGCACCGAGAAGCAGCTGGAGCTGGACAAGATGTGCCTGAGCCAGGCCAACAAGCACTTCGGCATGGCCTTGGGGGCCCTCTTTGTGGAGGAGTATTTCTCCTCCTCCAGCAAGGCCAAGGTAGGCACGGCGGGGGGAGTGGGCTGGGAACCCCCCCCAGATCCATCCGGGCTGTGGGGAGGTGGGGAATCCCACCAGTGACCACACCCGGGGCCAGGGAAACACAAGACAGGAGCGGCGCATCTTCAGGCCAAATGCCCAGTGGTTGGCGGCGCGCTCAGAGCCCGGCCCTGTTACCCAGTAACCACTGGGCGTGGCTTAAGCCTTTTGTGGGCGTGGCAGGCGTGCTCAGGGCCCGGCCCTGTTACCCAGCAACCACTGGGCGTGGCTTAAGCCTTTTGTGGGCGTGGCAGTGATGGAGGAGGCGGCTGTGTAGGGGAGGTTCGTACCCACCCCGAGCCCAGTGCCCTGGGTGTGTGCTACGAGGAACCGTGGTAACGCCATGACCAGGGCGCGGTTGCGCCGAGCAGGTGCAGCAGCTGGTGGAGGACATCAAGCACACCCTGGATCAGCGGCTGGACGAGCTCGACTGGATGGACGAAGAGACCAAACGCGCGGCTAGAGCCAAGGTGAGGCACCAAGGGGCGGAGCCTAGCCTGGCCAGCCAATCACACATCCACGGCTTGGGGCACTCCCAGGGGAGCTGGGGGTGGGGGCTGGAGCTCAGACAGCCAGGGGGGCTCTGAACTGCATGGGCCACAGGCGGCCTCGCTAGTCCCAAAGTTGAGCAAGTGGGATTCTCCAGCCAAGAGAGGGAAACTCTGCTGCCTGGCGGCCAATGCATAAAGGCCCCGCACCCACGCCGAGTGCAGCCCTGCTCCGGGCTGCCTGGGCCCGGCCACAGGGTGAGCCACGCGCCCAGACCGGCCACACGGCCGGTGCTGCCATCCGGCTGCTGCAGCCACAGGCCAGCGCCTCCGGGCAGAATTGGGGCCTTGGACTCACAGCCTGCCCCTTCCAGCACACGGGCCTCTGCCCAGAGACCTAGAGCAGCAGCGCCGCAGTCTGTCGTTGCATCCAGCAGGGGGCGGCGCTGTGCTCAGCCCCATGCGCCCCCGTGAGGGCAGGCTCGGACCTGGGCGCGTGCTCTCCTTGCAGCTCCAGTACATGATGGTGATGATCGGGTACCCGGACTTCCTGCTGAAACCGGACGCCATCGATAAGGAGTACGAGGCGAGTGTGCGAGGGGCCCGCGCTGCACCCCTAGAGGGACCATCTGCACACCCAGGCTGGGAGAGATCCAGCAGTACCCCTCCCTTTCTCCTGCTCTAGCCCTGGCCCCTGGCCCTGCCCGGACTCCCTGGCCAGCAGGAGCTGCTGCTCTGTCAGCCTGTGGCAGGGGTTTTGCTGGGGGGTGCGATCAGAGGGTCGTAAGGCTCAGGACCCTCCCAAAGTCCTTTGCTCCCCGTTCCCCTGGCTCTGGCTGAGCCACCTCCACCCCCGCGCGAGCCCCACCCCCACAACACCACTTACGTGGCTACCATCACGTGGACGTGCAGGGGCACAAACTCTATCAGCAGGGTGCGCTCCCAGGCGTCGCCACCAGAGGGAGACACTCTTGCACGTGCTCAGTGTGGTATGGGACCCTCCATCCATCCTAGGTCCCTGCCCTGGGGATGGGACTGAGCCTGCAGGCAGACCAGGGAGCCTCGGGGCTACAGTGAGCGCAGGGGCTGGGAGCCTGCTGGGGGGGATGGGACATCCCAGCTCCGGCTCCTGCTCCTCTCTTGTGGCAGGAGGGCTGGCTAAGAAGGGGAGTCCCAGGGAGAAGCCCCCTGCCCTTCCCCGCCTGACCTGGGCTGTGTCTCCGCCGCAGTTCGAAGTCCACGAGAAGACGTATTTCAAGAACATCCTCAACAGCATCAAGTTCAGCATCAAGCTCTCGGTGAAGAAGATCCGGCAGGAGGTGGACAAGTCTGCGTAGGTATCCATCGCCCGGGGCCTGCGCTTTGCCTCTCCAGAGGGGATGTGGCAGGGGCAGAAGGGGGTGTCAGTTCTGGGGACCCCCTCCTGTGAGAGCAGAGTTGGTCGGGGGTCTTTAGGGATCCCTCTGTGACAGGAGGGACCCACAATCTGTGGGCATCGTCTGGGCAGCCCATGGCATGTGCTCCGAGTGTGGCCATCCCCAGGCTGCCGGCGCTGGTTCAAGCCCCGCTCAGCCGCCTCGGCGAGAGACAATGGCCGTGCTCTACACTGGCTGCTGCAGGAGGCTCTGCTCCATGTGGCCAGGAGCCCCCTTGTCCTGACAGAGGTTGCTGCGGGGGCCTGGGGTCCAGCCCCCACACTGTTCCTCTCCCTGGACATCAAGGGGCCCCACTTCAGCCAAGGCATTTCCTGAGGGGTGTGGCGGCCTCTAGTGGTCAGTGTGCGCACAGACAGGCAAATGCCTCACAACTTGTGCCCACCTACCAGGGGCATCAGAGCCTAGCCTGGCACCATCCTGCGGGTATTAGGGGTCAGAGGCTGCCCCGCCCAGCACTCTGTCCTCTCCCAGCTCCCCCCTTGCCACACCACATTAGCAGACTCCCCTGTGTGCTGGGGCGGGGGGAATTGGTGGGGCAACTGGCCCTCGCAGCCCGGGTGCTGATATATGGAGATATACTATCTCATAGAACTGGAAGGGACCTTGAAAGGTCGTCGAGTCCAGCCCCCTGCTTTCACTAGCAGGACCAAGTACTGATTTTACCCCAGATCCCTAAGTGGCCCCCTCAAGGATTGAACTCACAACCCTGGGTTTAACAGGCCAATGCTCAAACCACTGAGCTATCCCTCTCTCCTTAAATCTCGGGGTCTCGCTGTCTCCTTGCAGGTGGCTGCTGCCCCCCCAGGCCCTGAATGCCTACTACCTGCCCAACAAGAACCAGATGGGTACGGCCGCACCAGCGACTCGGCTGATAGCCAGCATTCCCCGGGCTTCTGAACACGTCTGCTCTGAGTCATTGGGGGGGGGGGGCACCCAGACTGGGGAGGGCCAAGGGGTCGTACATCAGCCAAGTGGGGTTTGACTGGGACTGAAATAGTAATGGGGGGGCCTGCGGGTTGAAAGGGAGGGGAATCAGCAGAGCTGGGGAGGTGGGGGCAGGGCCAGGATAGCAGGGGGCTGTGGGTCGGAATTGGGGGGCATCGGCAGAGCTGGGGAGGTGGGGGCAGGACCAGGATAGCAGGGGGCTGTGGGTCGGGATTGGGGGGCATCGGCAGAGCTGGGGAGGTGGGGCAGGGCCAGGATAGCAGGGGGCTGTGGGTCGGGATTGGGGGCATCGGCAGAGCTGGGGAGGGGCAGGACAGAGCACGGCTGCCTCAGGGAGTCTCCCTCATTCCAGAGAGCTGGGGGCTGACCCACGCCGTGGTGCATTTGTCCAGAGCTGGTGGGTGATTTGGGGTCTCAGCAGGAGCCCCGTGTGCCTGGCCCAGGCGGGGTCCCCTCGCTGTGATCCTGCCCTGCTCGGGGTGAGAGGTGCCCCCTCCCCATAACACTCCCTCCTCTCCCCACAGTGTTCCCCGCCGGGATCCTCCAGCCCACGCTGTACGACCCCGAGTTCCCGCAGTGAGTACAGGGCTCTGCAGGCACCGTCCACCACTCCGACCCCCCCCCCCGCCAGCGCATGGGGGGCAGGGGATGGGGGGGTCCAGGGGGCACCCCTTGTGCCTGTGGAAGATCCCAGCCCTGGGGCGAAGGAGCAAGCAGGGCTCTCTGGGGGTAGCTCAGAACTGCCCCCGCTGGGCTGGGCCCAGCCAGAACCACAGACACCCAGGCGGTCAGTGCCCCCACCCCACCCCCGTGGGCTTGAGTCAGCCTCTCACTTGCCCTCTGCCAATTCGCTGCTGGCGGGGCCGTGTCAGGAGTGTGGGGATGTGCTCAGCCCCCCCCCCCCACATTCATTGCTGATGGGGTCGTGTCGGGGGAGGGTTGTGCTCAGACCCCCCCCCATTGCTGACAGGGCCATGTCCTGGGTGGGGGGATGTGCTCAGACCCCCCCATTGCTGATGGGGTCATGTCTTGTCTCCTCCTGCCAAAAGGTCCCTGAACTATGGTGGAATCGGAACCATCATTGGGCATGAGCTGACCCACGGCTACGACGACTGGGGTGAGCCTCCTTCCCCCCGCCCGGTTTCTGCTGCTCCGGGCCAGAGCTGGGACCCACGAGTGCCCGCCGCTAGGCCTGGCGCCTGTTCGCTGGGGACGCCCCCCCGGCCCCCAAGGGGTGAAGGTGATGCAAAGGGCCAGGTGGCAGCCGCATGGGATGAGCCCTGGGCAGCCTGGCGCCGCTGGAGCAGCGCCTCCCTCTGGCTGGCCCAGGAGCGGAGCCTGGCCCTTGTTGTACTTAAAGTACTGCACAGGATCTTTTCAGGGGGAATAAGACAAAACGCCACATTTATTAGTAATACACGTATTCATTAACACTGTATTATATGCATATAAT